GTTTTGTGATGTGCTTGCTTAATAAATGTATTCCTTTTCCTCTAGTATAGGGGTGGCAAACTATAGCTCACGGGCCAAATCCAGCTCAATGTCTGTTTTTATAAATATGATTTTATCAAAACATAGCCACGCCCACTTATTGACATGTCATGTATGGTTGCTTTTGTGCTACAGTAGCAGGCTGGTGTAGTTAGACTACTAAACCTAAAATGTTTACTATCAGATGCTTTAGAAAAATTTGCTGACCCTGCTCTACTAGACACTTAAGATGGGCTTGCATGTGCAGTATTCTCTGAGTTGTGCATTTTGTAAACAGTTCTTTTTTATCGACTAGATGTTTTAAAAACAGCATGAATGGATGGATATAAAATCCTTGGCTTGCATCTTTGTTCCTTAAGTTTCTAGAAAATGCTGAAAATGCTGTATCACTACTGCCTTGCTTTGTATATTGCTCTTGAGAAAGCTGATGCCAACTATTTTGGCTACCAGACTCCATAATAAACCACCTACCCTAAAAAGCATGGCTTAAAGTAAGAACCATTTTAATTATAATTTCACAGTCTTTGGAGTTAGGAATTTGGGTAGGGCTTGGCTGGATGATTCTTCTGTTCCCTGTGGCTTCAGCTGAGGTCACTCAGTGGTATTCTGCTGATGTAGGGCTTTCATGATGATTTCACTCATACCAGCAAGAATCAGCTAGGTCCTCTCCTTCTCCATGTAAGACCTTTCTGGGGAGTTACATGTTTTACATAGCAGCTCAGGGCTTTAAGAATAAGTGTTCCTGGCCGGGCGCGGTGGCTCACGCCTGTAATCCCAGCACTTTGGGAGGCTGAGGCAGGTAGATCACAAGGTCAGGAGTTTGAGACCAGCCTGGCCAACATGGTGAAACCCCGTCTCTACTAAAAATACAAAAATTAGCGAGGCATGGTGGTGGGTACCTGTAGTCCCAGCTACTCGGGAGGCTGAGGCAGGAGAATCGCTTGAAACCGGAAGGCAGAGTTTGCAGTGAGCAGAGATCGTGCCACTGCACTCCAGCCTGGGTGAAAGAGTGAAACTCCATCTTAAAAAAAAAAAAAAAAAAAAGTGTTCCCAAAGACCAAAGACCCAAACCCAAGTGGACACCACTTCAAGACTTCTTGTGACCTGGGGTTGGAAATCCCAGAATATTGCATGTTCTATTCGCCAAACAATTCAGTAAGGCCAGCGTGGATGGAGAGGAATGATACAAAAAATTGGCAGCCACCTTTAAAGTACTGCAGCCCAATTTTCTTTTCTTCCTTTCTTTTTTTTTTTTTTTGAGGCGGATTTTCGCTCTTGTTTCCCAGGCTGGAGCGCAATGGCGCAATCTTGACTCACAGCAATCTCTGCCTCCCGGGTTCAAGCGATTCTCCTGCCTCAGCCTCCCAAGTAGATGGGATTACAGGCGTGCACCAGCATGCCTGGCTAATTTTTTGCATGTTTAGGAGAAAAAGGGTTTCACCACATTAGCCAGGCTGGTCTCGAACTCCTGACCTCAGGTGATCTGCCCACCTCAGCCTTCCAAAGTGCTGGGATTATAAGTGTGAGCCACCACGCCTGGCCTGCAGTCCAATTTTCTTACCCTTTTAAACAATTTGAACTTTGTACATGCAAACCTCAAAGATTATTATCAGTTTAATAGTGTAAATAGCATAGCTCTCAGAGGTCAGCCTCTGGCAGTTTTCCCAGGTAAATGTAGCCCTTATAGGTTCATATCTTATTTTCAGAAAGATTTTTAGATTATAGCTTCAACATATGTATAACTCCAGTGACACATATGTTAGATATTCTTTGCTTGTATTCAAATGACATTCCAAAAAGAGACAGAAACAAGCACAAAGGTGTGGAGCCAAGGGGAAGTGGAAACATTTCAGGAGTTTGTACGGTGTGTGTGGAGGAAGCAACAGAAGATGGACTAGAGAGAATGGGCAAGGTCTAGATTAAGGGAAGTGCTAGACAGTGACACCAGGGGTGGTACATTTTTGAAAGTTTTCTCTAACCTGCAGAATGGAAGATAGATTGGAAGCAGCAAGACTGGCAGGGAGACCACATAAAAAGCTGCTGCATGGCCAGGTGCAGTGGCTCACACCTGTAATCCCAGCACTTTGGGAGGCCAAGGCAGGTGGATCACTTGAGGTCAGGAGTTTGAGACCAGGCTGGTCAACATGGCGAAACCCTGTCTCTAACTAAAAGTATAAAAATTAGCCAGGTGTGGTGACGGTCATCTGTAATCCCAGCTACTCAGGAGGCTGAGGCAGGAGAATCGGGTGAACCTGGGAGGCGGAGGTTGCAGTGAGCCAAGATCGTGCCACTGCACTCCAGCTTGTGTGATAGAGTGAGACTTCGTCTCAAAACAAATAAACAAAGCTGCTGCATTAGTTTAGGTGAGAGGGCCTAAAAGGGATACATTCTAGTTATTTATTTATGAGGAAGCATCAATGGGACTTAGTGGTTGTTGGGAATGGCGTCAGGGCAGAGGGGTGGCCGGAGAAGAAGGAATCAAGAATGGCCCCCCGGTTTCTGAATTGGGCAACTGGGTGGACAGTAGTTTAGACATGTAGAGTGTGGGGTATCTCTAGGACACCCAGTAGAGAAGTCTGGCGGGCTTTTGTGAATATGGAACCAAGATGAGCGGCCTGAGCTAGAGACAGTGCACTTGGGAGTTGCTGATATGCGGCAGATGAAGACACGGAGTGGAGGCAATGGTCCAGGGAGAATGTGTGGAGTGAGACCAGCTGAAGAGAGAATCTGTGAAACTGAGAAGTGGTCACAGGGGTTAAGAAAGGAGTCATGCCATGACACCAAGGGAGTTTCAGAAAGAGTGGGGTACTCTGTCAAATGTCACTGAGAGTTCTAATAATATGAGGACTCAAAGATGGCTTGTGGTATTTAGGATCAGACAAGCCATTCATGACTGAGAGCAATGCAGTGATGCGGTGTGGACAGAAACTACATAGGTTTGAGGAGCTGAGGAGCTGCTAAGGAGGTAGAGATGAGGGTAGATGACTTTCAAGACATTTGTGAAGGAAAACTCAGAGAGGGACTAGTAACTGAAGCAGAATCTAGAGGGACAGAGAAAGGGTTTCTTCCTTTTTCTTGAGGACAGGAAAAGCTTAAACATGTATAGATGATTAAGGAAAGAGACAAGTAAAGAGAAGCTGGTAATTTTGGAGTGAGAGGGGGAGAATGATTGAAAGGTGTTTGAGAAGTTTTCTGAGGATGTGGGAAGTGAAGAAATAGAGAACAGAGATGGAGATGCCAATACAGTGTCCTTGAAATATTTAATTCCCTTATGGTTTATGATTGTCTAGCCCACATATTGAAATTACCTTGGTTTCAATCAATAGAACAAACATATCAAGTAATATTTACACATTTATATTATTTACACATCTTTTCTCCGAATATCAGAATCAATGTTTAACACCTCTCAATGCCTTCCACATAGTGGGTGCTCAAAAAGGGCAAATGAAGAGGCTAGATGTCTCTTACCTGATTCTGAGTATCTTCATATGTACAAAACATAGCCAAGACCGTGCCTACAAGAGATAAGTCTCCTCAAGCATGAAAATATTCACACTTCATATATGAAAGGTAAGATGTCCATCTTTTTTTTTTTTTTTCTTTTGAGACGGAGTCTCACTCTCTTGCCCAGGCTTGGAGTACAGTGGCGCGATCTCGGCCCACTGCAACCTCTGCCTCCTAGGTTCAAGCGATTCTCCTGCCTCAGCCTCCCAAGTAGCTGGGATTACAGGTGTACACCACCACGCCCGGCTAATTTTTGTATTTTTAGTAGAGGCAGAGTTCTGCCATGTTGGCCAGGCTGGTCTCGAACCCCTGACCTCAAGCGATCTGCCCGCCTCAGCCTCCCAATGTGCTAGGATTACGGGCGTGAGCCTCGACGCCCGGCCAAAAATGCTCATCTTTTGAGGAACCTATTTGTTCCCATTTAACAAAGTTGGTTATCAGCATTTCCTTCACCACAGGAGTTTAAAAATAAAAAGAGGAGAGGAGGAGGAAGAGGGTGTTCTAAAGGCAGGCAGGCAGGCAGCAGCAGGAGGTGGCACGATCTGCCTTACCATAAGGTGCCAAAAAACAGTGAAAACCATACTCCCAGCATGCAAGCCTGGGGTCGCTTAGCTCTGGAGCTTACAGCCTTCATCATTGACCAATAACCCCTAAAGGACGTTGCTGTTTTGAGTCTTAAGTAACGTTGAGAAAAATGACCATTTGAACCATTTACAAAGTCCTTGTTACATCCTAATTTGGCACCATCTCCTGTATTTCACACAGTTTGGAAAGAATTCTATAAAAGATGGGTAACAGTAAAACACAAAAAAGCTGGTGCTTTGATGGTAAATCTGACTGCCCCTGGCTCCTTTGCCCAAGCTGTTTTCCCAGCCCTAATGTCCTCCCTTTTTCCCCTTAGGACTTCTTTTTCTTCCTTCGAGGCTGACCATAAATGCCGCCTCTTCCAGGAAGCCCTCTGCGGCGTCCAAGCGGAAGTTATCTCTAGCTTCTGTGCCTTCCCACAGCATCGCACTGTGGCTTGGATCTGCACAGGTCACCGGACTCGGTTGTGTACACGGCTGTTTTCCCCGCTAAGTTTGGGGAGCCTCGAGCCCAGGCGCTGTGATCGTGATCGTGCGCCCACAGGTACCTGGTGCGGCGCGGGGTGAACGCCGCGGCTGAGCGAGTTTGCGGAGTTCATGCGGGTCACTCGGGCAGAGGCTTGTGCCCTAGGCGCAGAGAATGATTCACGGGGTGGCTCTTTGCATTCTTTGCCCGGTAGTCACGTCGGGCCGGGCACCCTGCCGGCGGATACCAGCGGATGGAAAGGCACCCGGCCCGGCGCCAGAGAACGGGAGAAGCCTGGATGGAGCCAGCTTCCCGCCTGCCCGGAACCGCGGGGGCGGGGTGAAGGGGTGCTCGGCCACTCCCGCCCCCTCCTCGCGCGCGGAAGCCACGCCCCCGGTCGCGCGCTCGCGCTGGGCTCGCGCCCGCGCCTCCACCCTCCGCCCTCCGCCCTCGCGCCCTCGCGCCGGGGGCGGGCGCTGCGCGTGCCGGGCGGGGAAGCGGTGCGAGCCAGGCGCTGCGAACGTTCGCCGCGGGGGCGGCTCCGGGGCCTGAGTGGGCGCCGCCGCTGCCTCAGCTGAGGGGGCCGGGCCGGAGCGTGAGGAGGAGTGAGGCCGCAGGAGACCTTCCCGACGCCCCCTGCTCCTGCAGGGAAGTGAGCAAGGTGGGGGTCTGCGGCCGCCGCCGGGGCTGCGGGGAGCAGAGTCGGGCTGGAGCCTCGCGCCTGCGAGGTGCGGGACGGGAGCCCGCGCTGCGCCGGGACTGGGGACCCGGGAGTCTGCGGGTGCGGCGCCGCGGGAGGTGGGGAGGGCGCGGGGAGCCGGGGCCACTGCACTGCGCGGGGCTGGGAGGTGGGACAGCGCGGCTTGCCGCGGAGGGACCGGCAGAGGGGATGCTGCGGAGCCCGGGCCGGGAGGGGTCTCGGGGTCCGGAACGCGCCGGGGCACGGGCGCGAGCTGGGGCGCGGCGCCGGGCTGATGCTGCCCGAGCCGGGCTCGCCTGGAGGCGGCTCTGCATTAGGTGCTGAAGGGGCGAGTGAGGCAGGTCCTGGCAGAGGGCAGGTGAGGCGGGCAGGCCCTGGCAGAGGGAAGGATATTTATTTCAGATCACCCCGAATCACTTTTTCCCGAGGCGCCTAATAGCGAACCTGTCCGGGAGGTCACCCTGGTCAGGAAAGTGTCCCGAGAGGAGGATGCCGGTAACGAATACTTGCCCTTAAATTCCCGTGCCAGGCCTTGGGATTAGGAAGACCTTCCAGCTACTGTGGGTAGAGACCCGTAGTCAGCACTGGGGCCACGAAATAGTATGAAACACCCTCATGTTATTGAGGTGCTGGCAGTGTGACTGTGAAGATATGCACATAAAATACAAAAGAGCGTCCAATTTTATGTTTTATGCCCTATTCACTTTAGGTCTCTTTTGTCTTTTCCCAGTATTGGGAAATTGAAGCCATAATTTGCGTGGTTTTGGGGATAAAGCGGAAAGGTCAAATAAGCTTATGGGAGAAATTTGGGAGAGTTTCAAAGGCTCCTACGGGTACCATTTAAGGGGGGCTCTCAGAGGGGAAAAAAGACGTTTGGAAAGAAAGGAAGTTTCCTTCCTTCCCAACTAGAAATAAGCTCCATGACAATTCACTGCAAAGTCTTCAGAATGTTGCCTGTCTCACAGTGGTCGAGCCATAAATGTCTATTGCATGAATGAATGGACAAGCAAGGTTTGGCCACATTTGCCTTGGAGCAGTGTCAGTCACTCTAGTGTTAGGGAACGTTGCTAGATTTCCCCTGTTCCACAAGTTCTCTCTCTCTGCCTTTTTTTTTTTTTTTTGCCATGCCAGGCAACCCAGTTTCTAAGGTCTGGGCACATTAAAGCAATGGCTAAGGCTGCGAGGTCTTGGTTTCTGTGGCCATGCTACCACTTTCCCATGTGTCTTACATGTTGGCCGTCAAGAGCTTGCTCCTTGGGCTGTTGCTTGAGATCATCCCATTTTGTTCCTTCTCCCATTGACTTTTCCTGTCACTTGAGAAGGAAGAGGGTAGTGTTGTCTAGAAAACACTTTTTCATTTTCATCCTAGTTCTTGGATCTTAGACCTGTAGTGCGAGGCTATCGGTGCCTCTGTTTTTCTGTAAGGGCTAGAATCCTGCCTGTCCTCTGCCTTGGTTGAATCTCTGAACTCTGGAGCTCCAGGCTGCTGTTTCAGTAACCTGGGTTGCAGTGCCTGTTGGGTTACTTTGTCTGCCAAATTAAAACTTGACCTTTTATGAGTTCTCTGAGGATTTTTATCATAATGCATAAGTGGAATTGCCTTTCAAAGGGGTTGTGCAGTCAAGGTAGTGCTGGCAGTTTTTGGATGTCCCCTATGCCCGGGAGACAAATTTCTACCTATGGTTAGAAAATTAGACTCAGAACCAAGAGAATTTCAACTTATTGTTTTATTTTTTGTCTTTATATTACCCCAGGGCCTTAGTTTCTTCGTGTGAAAAATAAGAGTAATAATCAAAATCTGGCATTGTATAGGAAGTCTTGAATAAGTAAATTTATTTCTCCTGTTTGAATTACATGAGCATCAGAGCTGTGGCATCTAGTTGTGTAGATTGTATACTGCCCAGCTTTAGGGAGCACCATTCACATTGGAGTCCCCGTGCCTGGCAGCTCCTGGAGTGCGTACTCTGTGTGACTGTGTACAGCCAGCAGGTCTCTTGTTGAGAGGTGCATAGGTTCTACAATATAGGGTGCCTTATTCCAGGCTCTCTCGATGATATTTTGTTTATATATTTATTTTAAAACCAACCTATTGATGTGTAGTGGACACAATAAAATGTACAGATTTCCCATGTGCGGTTGGATGAGTTTTGGAAAAATGTGTACAGTGGTCCCCCCATTAGCCTCAGGGTTATGTTCCAAGAGCACCAGTGGATGCCTGAAGCCACAGCTGATTCCAAACCCTATATAGACTGTTTTTTCCCCTATACTTAAGCACCTATGATAAAGTTTTAACTTATAAATTAGGTACCATGAGAGATTAATGATTTCTGTTAGGCATATGTTTGGCTTCTCTGTGGCATATCCCAATTTGCCAGCATCACTACTCTTGCACTTCGGGTTTATTATTAAGTAAAACGGTGGTTACTTGAACACAAGCACTGTGATACCATGACAGTCAATCTGATCATTGAGACAGCTACTAAGTGAGTGACCAGAGGGTGGTTTATGCAGAGTGTGGATATGCTGGACAAAGGAATGGTTCACATCCCAGGTGGGACAGAGTGGGATGGCACAAAATTTCATCAGGCTGTTCAGAATGGTACACAACTTAAAACTTACAAATTGTTTACTTCTGAGTGGGGGACTGCTGTATACTTTGTAACCAGCATTCCAATCAAGAAATTTCCATCGCCCCAGAACGTTCCCTTATGCTGGTTTGCAGTCCATTCTCCATCCTCTCCACTCCCTTTTACTGATTTCGAATTACATAAGCATCAGAGCTGTGGCGTCTAGTTGTGTAGATTGTATACTGCCCAGCTTTAGGGAGCATCATTCACATTGGAGTCCCCGTGCCTGGGAGCTTCTGGAGTTGTGTAGTGCGTACTCTGTGTGACTGTGTGCTGCAACTCTGCAGGTCACTCAGAACACACACTTACTTGTCAGATACCCAAACAGTACAGACAGAATAAAGGCCCCCTTGACCTACTCACGGAAACAAGCTATCAGTTTTTGTGGTCTTTCCAGACTATTCTCTATGTATTTTCTTGTATATATAAGGAACACACACACTTGTCAGATACTCAGACAGTACAGACAGAATAAAGGCCCCCTTGACCTACTCACGGAAACAGAAGTGATCAGTTTTTGTGGTCTTTCCAGACTATTCTCTGTGTATTTTCATGTATACATAGGTAATGCAGAATTAAAAAAGAGCAGTTTTTTCTCCTCTGCATTAATGACATCATACTGTACACAGTGTTCTGCAGTTTTTTCCCCTAACGGAATGATTTTGAGATCTTTTCATGTTGGAACACAGGAATCAACCTGAGTCGTTTTAACTACTACACAATCTCTTATGTAGTATGTATTGTAGTTTATTTCGTATTCTCATTAAGGACCGTTGCTGCAGTGAATGAAAAAATACAATTGCTGGGTCAGAGGTACGCATGTTACTTCATAATTAATGGGGCTGTAACCATGTTGCTACTTGTGGATTTAATCCATTTATTTTTAACTGCTTAGTGTATTCAGTTGTAGGCTTTTTTTTTTTTTGAGATGGGGTCTTGCTCTCTTGCCCAGGCTGGAGAGCAGTGGCACTCCAGGGCTCAAGTGATTCCCCCAAGTAGCTGGGACTACACTTGTGTGCCACTATGCCTGGCTAATTTTAAAATTTTCTGTGGAGATGCAGTCTCGCCATGTTGCTCAGGCTGGCAAGAGATCCTCCCAAAGTGTTGGGATTACAGGCATGAGCCCCTACACCTGGCCCGGTTGTCGATTTACATCACAGCCATATGTATCCTTTTACTCACTGAGGAACAGTTGGGTTCCTTTAGATGCTGATTCTTCAATGGGTCTGTGTGTTGCAAATGCATCCTGCCAGCCCTAGGCTTTTCTTTCCCTTTGTTAACAATGTGTTTGGTTGTATATACCATTTAAGTTTAATGTCATATTTATGAAAAATTTCCCTTAAATGGCTTGTCTTTTTTCGGGTGTGTATCTGGTTTAAGAAAATGTTCTCTCTCTCATGGTGTTAATGATATATTCTTATATTTTCTTCCAAAAGTTTAAAAAAGTTTTGCTTTCCATATGGAATTTATTTCTATGTATGGTATAATGAAGAGATACAATTTTTGTTTTTTCAATTTGGATGACTCGTTTTCAGCACTCTTTTTTTATTATAGTAAAATACACATAACATAAAAATTACAATTTTAACCATTTTTAAGTGTACAGTTCTGTAGCATGAAATACATTCACGTTGTTGCACAGCCATTACCACTGTCTTCAGAGCTTTTTCATTGCCCCCAACCGAAACTCTGTACCTCTTAAACACCAGCTCCCCATTCTTCCCTCAGCCCCTGGCAACCACCATTCTACTTACTGTCTATGAATTCGACTACACTAGGTACCTCATATGAATGGAGTCATTACAAGATTTGCCCTTTTGTATCTGGCTGATTTCACTTAGTATAATGTGCTTAAAGTTCATTCATATTGTAGCATGTGTCAACATTTCCTTTTTAAGGCTGAATAATATTTCATGGTATGCATATACCACATTTTGTTTATTCATTCGTTGATGGACATTTGGGTTCCTTCCCTGTTTTGGCCATTACAAGGAGTGCTGCTATGAACATTGGTATCCATATGTCTGTTTAAGTCTCGTTTCCATTTCTTTTGTGTATGTGCTCAAGTGCAATGATCAGTAATACAGTTTTTAAAACAATATACATAATGGAATAAAAATAGATTAACACAACTGTGGCCAATATGGCTGAATAGAACAGAGTTTCCATGTACCCACTCTTTGCCATGTGGTTTCTCCTATTAACATCTTGCATTAGTATGCTACATTTATTGTAATTGATAAACCAATATTGATACATTGTTGTTAAAGTTCATGATTTAGAGTTCACTCTTTGTATTGTATATTCTATGGATTTGACAAATGCATAATGTCA